GATAGAATCAAGTCATGCTTCAATTTACACCAATTTGACAATTCTTAAAAATAATATCTGAATCCAATGTTCTTTTACTTTTGTTAGAGTTGATTAATTTTTTTTTTAAGCAGGGGTACGTTTTTAACGTAGATTTCAACGAAAAGATTTTAAAGTGTTTAAAGTTTGTTAAAATCACATTAATATACTCCTTGAATAACCGAGATTAAAACAGACACCTAAACAAATGATTTGACAGTAGTTTTTTTTAATACTTACGCATTGTTCATTGAAATTATGCTACATGTACATTATTGTAATAATACTTATAAACGTTATTGCATATTTTAACAGAAAAGTGTTCTGCCAACTCAGGGAATTGTCCAGCCGGTTGGAAGAAATACAAGGATCACTGCTACTTTTTTTCACCGGACACAAAAATATGGCATTATGCTGCAGTAGGTCACTTCTTTACTTATACTAATATAGGAAATTATTCACAAAATTCAATGCAACTGGTCAATTCAATTGTATCAAGAGCTATTCGATCATTTATTAGATGTTGGGTCAATATGTCTCTATAGCAACTACTGGATTCAGTTGACACTACTCTACATCCACTAGTCTAGATGAAATGTTTTAATAGCTTTTGATTAAAAGAAATGATCCCATGAAAGAATATTGGCTAAATAATGAGTGTTTCCGGTAATATCTAGGAGCATTATACAAATCACTGTAATTTCACTACTACAATAATTACTAGAAATTTTTAGTGCAATGGTTGGCATATTTTTTTAATTCTATTCTCTCATCTTTCATATCTTCTGTCAATTATACCTTTTAATGTAATAAATATTTCATAAATTGTATGGAAATATATAAGATTTTAACGTTTACTGAAAGGTCAGAATAAGACATTTAAAAGTAACGATTTCAAGCTTTGTTAATATCCAGAGTATAACGTTCTATTTCTGTTATTCCAGAAACAATGGAACAATATGGGAGGCTACCTTGTAAAGATTGGAGACTCAGCAGAAAACTCATGGATTGTTAGCAAGCTTTATGGTAAGTATATTTATACGTATGATAAGACACACCGACACTGTTACATTTTCGCAACACAACTGTAGTAGAAAAATAACAAAATAGAGTAATCACAAGTGAGACAAAACGTATGTGAAAATAAATTTTAAAATTTTCAATATAGAACCGAAATTTAGGGAAAAAGTGTGATTCAATATTATAATATCAATTAGGGTAATATATGGTAGCAACAAATACTTACAAAATTTACAGTGTATTTTATATCAAGTTCTTTAAGTTCGGAAATATACCAAACAAAACATGGTAACGTCACCCAGGATTGTTTTCACACTACTTTGCGAAATGTATGTGGATTTAATAAAGGGAAAGCTCATTATGTGACAAAACAAAATGACAGAGCTTTTAAAACGAATAGGTGAAATTACCAAGAGCTACCACTGAATAAAAGAAACATGGTTTCGTGTTCAAGCTACATAACATTTTTTCCAAACCGCACTCTCTAGGATACACTTTATATTAAGTTGATCACTTTCCTGCCAAAATATATAATAATACCATTTAGTGCTAGTTAAAATATTTAACAAATGAAAATGGGTGGGATATTATATGTACCTTTTTTTATTTAAGGGAACGCTAACCTTTATACATTGAAACATTGATTTTTCGCATAAGTCAGTTTACTGTATAGAAATACTAGTATGTATCATACAATTTTGATTCGGAATATACCAACTCTCTCTCGTTTTTTTATGACTAAAGATAAACAAAAATCAAGACTTGAATGAATTTTATAATAAAAACATTATTGCTATTATTATAATTATCATCATTAGTATTATTATTATTATTATCATTATTATTATTATTGTTGCTGTTGTAATGCCCACAGAAATGTAAAAACGAGTTTAAACGTTCCGTCAATTAAGACCAATCAAGCCAAATATCTGGGTTCACAAATAAATTTTGAGATAGTTCTGAAATCTAACCGAACTCCAATTCAAAACTGTGTGGTTGTGTGGTTGTATATCATGTGAAAACGTTTGTATTGTTTAAAATTTGATTACACAGACAATAATTGAAAATGTCGTAGTATTGATGTCTTTTAGTATATAAAATAAGGATATGAAGTATGTTCACGTGTAAGTTCATTTTTATTTGCATAAATAATTGCCTTTTATAAACTGACAACTTTTACTATAATATGTGTTTATTATTGCTGAAAAAAGAATCGGTTAAGCATAGGCATGGCTCTTGGATGGGAGCATCAGACTTTAAGAAAGAAGGAGACTGGAGATGGGTTCATGACTCTGACAAGGTTCGTTATTCCCAGTGGTATCCAGGCGAACCAAACATTACTAGCAGAAAAGAAGACTGTGGTCTATTGTCGACAGTCTTTAAGTATAAATGGAATGATGCACGATGCAACCTTGATAACACAGGGTACATCTGTGAGTGTTCACATCTAAGTTTATTTTCATTCAATACAGTTCCCATCCATTTTCATTTCTATGTTTGTTTATTGCTTTTCTTATCGGCAGAAATGTTTGGTCCACTGATAGGATTGCAATTAATCCTCATTCATATTCAGTTCAGCGTTATAAACGGCATTTCTTATTCAAAATATCCTAAATGAAAATTATTACATTATTTGGACAATAAATGTCTGATATATTTAAACTTAATCTCCCCATTACTCTTCTAATATGCTCTCATTAAAAGGGGTTAAGTTGAGATAATGAAGTAATGAAGTCATTTTTCATGGCATTAATAACAAGGATTATTTACTTAAATTGTTATAGCGACAATCACTTCCTATTTGTCTCGATTGTTACATCATTGAATGTGACTTATCAGGTATACTTGTACAGGGTGAAGCTGGATCTGTTTATCAATTCAACGTAAAATGAGATCGCCTACGATTTTCGTTTGGGTTCGTGTAGCCCAGTCTTATGTTTTCTGTATAGTGCTTTATAGACTGTTGTTGTTTTTTTCGTCGTTTTTCCTTTGTGGCAAAGGTATTCGCTGTTTTTTTTTTTCAATTTGTTGTCTTTGATTGTCCATTTGGTATCTTCTGTCTCTTTTTATGCAGTCACTTTATATGGTGCTTTATAGACAGGGAATGTAGTTTTATGCAGTAATTTTTCATAGTGTTCATAACAATTTATACCATCATTTTTCATTGTGTTTAGAACACTTTTCAATGTCTTGATACATGTTTTAGAAACGAATTAAGAATGTTAATTTTTACGATGTTTAACAAAGAATGTTATTCAATTGAGTTATAATTTTTCGTGGTGTTTACAACAAGGAATGTAATAGTATTAAGTTATTGTTCATACTGCTCACAAACTTTGTTAAGGTAAACTGTAAACTGTTGCCTGCTTGATGTTTTGTTTAGTATTATCAATATCAACTGTTTAGTTTTCTTATCATTTTGAAATACATCATTTAAAATATTGTCAAATTAATCGTGCAGAAGTAAACTCTAAACAGAGGTTTATAAAGTCAAACAAAAAAAAAGACTTATTACTCCCGGAGCACACTGCACTTCAATATTTTACCGAACAGAATAGGAATATTTAAAATTTTTAAGGTTTATATATAATAGCTTTTTTTGGCAAAGTAAATACATGTTTGTAATCTTTGCTAATAATTTTTCATGACTACTTTCTCAAATTTCCTCCGATAAACATGACAAATTTTGATTGAGAATAATGTATATTCAGACATACTCATGTTTCCTTCTTCTGTTCTTATAGGGACCGAACTGCCGTCCGCACAATGGATGAGAGAGAATTAAGTAGCCGGTAGAAGACAGATATACTGTTAATTTCATTAAAGAAATCTAAACAGAAATAATTTGGCCATTAATCTCATTTATGATAAGCATACACAGTATATTAACTATTATATTATGTAAACTTGTCTTACCACTAAAGAGCTACTTTTAGAACCAGCATTTTGACAATATACAATAAAATACCACAATTAGAATCCGGTAAATTCTGGAAAGGCTATTAACTACAAAAATATCCTCATGACGTACTAAAAATCTAATTTTACGATTAAATATTTGTCAGCAAAAGTGTTGGAGAAAGCATAGGAGAAAAAGCTATGTGTATGCATTTCACAAACAGTTCTATAATAAACTTTGTTCCTCAGTGTGAATTCTCTTTGTTTGGTTTTTTATTTGAACAAAGACCTCAAAATCCAAGTTCAATATGCCAAGGATTTCTTGTAAAAAATCTTCGCAATATCAGGAAAACTGGACATAACTTGAATTCGGTATTAAAGTTTGCGCAAAACAAATCTTTTTCAAGACCCTAATGATTTGTCAGATTTGCATTAACATTTAATATTATGATAACAAAATGTTTTCTATTGGAATATCATTCGAGTATCATATGAATCCGGTGCAAGGTTTACGTAGATGATTTATGTGATCGCTAATCACGGTCCGTTTTTTTTTGTTTTTTTGTTTTTTTTAATAAAGCCCTTTGCTTCAAGCACTTTAACATGTTTAAACAAACGCCCAAATTTTTGGTTCCACAAAAAACCACAAAAAGAGAGCATAGATACCGTCGTTGTCTTAAGGTTTGAATGATGTTGTACTGACCAAAATAATTGAACGTTGGTGCTTAATCAACGTCAGGTGGCAAACATCTAAGGATATCCAGGACGAAAACAAGTTGAAAAATGAATTGAAAAAAAAGGTTCTGAAATAGCGCGACCAAGATCGATTAAATTTGAACTGGCAAGCCAATACAGAAGACTTCCACAGTAACGAATCATAATACTTAGGAAGTATATATTTGAAATAGAATGACAATTATAGTTTTAATCAGATCAGGATACAGGATAAGGGACAAAGCTAAAAAGTGTAATTTTCTAGGAAATAATCGGTTGGAGATATTTAACACTGTTCTACCGTAATACTATATAGCGACAGATGGACCACAGAAATTTAAACACGATCAAGTTGCATAGTTCCTATATCATAAACCAATATTCAGTAGCAGCGTTATAACTTTACATCAAATACCAAAAAGGTTTGTTATAATTTTTTATATACTAATCTATATTTATGCTTTGTACAAATTTCGTTTTAATTTCATCCTATTTAATTTCAAAATTAGATACAGAAATAATACAATAATCAAAATCGATGTCTGAACATGTGCATTTTCAAATTTGTTTGCTTAATGTGTGTGTTTTACCTAAGTTTCTATTGAATATTGCATATGAACGTTAATTTATTGATACAACACCGTAATTATGTATGTACAGAAAGAGCAAACTGAGAAAATATTGTTGATGATGTGTGTAAACCGGTTGAATGGTTTCTTTGTATTTTTTGTATTTCATCGCAATCCAGAAAAATATAAACCGTTCATATATAAACCATATAATGGGTTTGTAAAGACCACCTTCAACCATTTTATCGTTTTTTCTACTTTTCAATGTTTCACTTAATAAATAATGCGAATAACTATTAAAAAGTATGCTAAAATAAACATATGCCAATTCAAACAAAACATTTTTTGATGGACAATATAATATTTTGATATAAATTATGTTCATATATTTGACATTTACATAATATATACAATTTACTATATAAAAGTGCCTAACGCTTCCTTAATAATATTCAAATATTTTGCGCATGTTTTATAAAGAATTTGATTTAGACATAAATTATAATTGACTGCCAATCTTACAAATTACCATAAAATTACTTTCCATTTTTAAAACTTTAAAAGAAGTATTTTTCGGATCACAATACACAGGGCAGTTATAAATAACATGTAATTCATATTCAGTGAAACCAAAGCAATACAAACAGTGCCCTTCTTCCAGTCTTAAGACACCGAAATGATTGGCCATGTATAAAAATGTGTATCCACCTGTCTGTAAGGGATCTACACGTATTAATAAGAAGTCACGTTCATCTTAGGATTAAAATTAAACTGAAATATTCATGACTAACGCGTGTATTACTTGTAAGATTTTTTTTGTGAAAAGAACCGCAGGATAGTGCCACGCTATCTGCATGTTAAAGAATTGTAAGGGTTCCGTAGGTAGCATGTTGCAAAGCAGATGTATTGCCCCTTATTCAACTCTGCCAAGTAGTTGTCTAACTTTACCACGCACGTCATCACAGTCAACCCCATTGAGAATCGTTAATTTGTTCTCATGCTAAGAATGCTTTTAATATTGCAACTGCAAAACATGAAAAATCAACCAACAAATCAATTACATAAATTTATAGTTTATTATATCTATCAGTTTCTAATATACAAATGTGATTAGAGACTAATTTGGATAAAGCATTGCAGCTACCTAAAAGCATTATAACTTTCAATTTTGTCCAAAAAAATCAAATTTAAAACGCTTTTATGATCGTTATTTGTTTCTTTCACTACCAGTTGTAGAAGAGATTAAAATCACTATTCTGTGCCAATCTACAATGAAAAAAAAAAAAATTAGACAACATTCTTCAAAATGAAGCATATATCTTGATATTTTAATTTCTGTTACAGAAATTCGAAATTAATTAAAAAACGGTAAGACAAATTCATTGCATAATATTTTTAAGTTTACAGCTGACAATATTTGCACAAACAAATTAATTTGTCTGTTAAAATATTTGCTCATGATAACACAATTCGGACTCAAAAAATTGATTCCTTAATTTGAATAAATAATCATAAATTATTAGTTTTTACAGGATGTCCCTTTCTGTAATTCTGGTTCTATGTTGTATATCTGTGATCGAGTCGAAAACATGTGACAGATCCAAAGAGAGATCAATGATATCTGAAATGCGGTCATTACTTGAGGCCTTCGAAAACAAGATAAACGGTACATTTACATTATCGATCTTTGGGAACTAGACAACATTTAACAAAATCAAGCAAAGCTTCAGTTTGCACAAAGTTGAACAATCATTAACTAAGAGTATATAACGTATTTGCAATGTTGTTTTATTTTTCATTCAGGTTACTAATATAATTTTATAATTTCTTTTTGTGCTGAAAAGGGGGGGGGGGGGGGGGTACTTTTTTTTTTAAAGAAGTATTAAACTAAAAAGATTTTCAATGTTTTTAAAGTTCGTATAAATCCCTTAATTGCTTATTGTTGATAGTAGTTTTTATCAGCTATATGCCCTATACAATTAGGATATATGGTTTGAATGCCAATGAGACAACTATCCACCTGAGTTAAAATGAAGTGGATATAAGCAATAATAGGCCATCGTGCGCCTTCAATAATGAGAAAAACCCAAACCATATACGACATATCTGAACCAACAAAAACTGTTGCACTACAGTCTTTAGACATGGAACAGGCACATAAAGAACGTGATCGGGTTAAACATGTTTGTGAGAGCTCAACCCTTCCTTAACCAGGGACAGTGGTGTTTTTTTTTTTTTTTTTTTTTTTTTTTATATATAAACTTATGAATGTTACTATATTTGTTTAACAGACAATTCTTGCAAGTGCACGTCTAACCAAGAAGAGTGTCCAGCCGGTTGGAAGAAATACAAGAATCACTGCTACTTTTTTTCACCTGACGCAAAAACATGGCATGATGCTGCCGTATGTAATTTCTTTACTTCAAATAAATCTAACAGCGGAAACTAATAAAGTGTTAACAAATTTTCTTGCGACTAGTTAGTTCAACATTATCATGCGCTTTTCTAACATTAAGTAGGCTTTAGATAATTATTTCTCTATTGAAACTACTTTATTTTGTTGACAATACATGAGACCTATGTGTTCCAAAACCTGAAAACATTTCAATAGCTTTTGATAAAAAGAAATTACCTCTTTGTAAACAATTGGCTAAAAGTGTAGAAGCATTAAAAACTGATATATAGAAAATAGAAGATGTACTCATGCAACGGTTATCGTTTTTATTTCAATTCCTATTTTTCATCATTTCACTGTGATGTCAATACCTTGTATTGTGATAAATAGTTCATGAATTTGAAGCAGATAAATTAGATTGAGACTGCACCGAATGGCCAGAAGCTGCGATTTAAAACTATGGTGTAAAGTAATTATAATGATGTTCATGCTTTGTTATTATCCAGGGTATAACCTTCTATTGCTGTCATTCCAGAAACAATGTAAAAATATGAGAGGTTACCTCGTGAAGATTACAGACTCAGCAGAAAACTCGTGGGTTGTTGACATGATTACTAGTAAGTACATCTTACACTTATGATAAGACACACTGTTACATTATAAAACACATTTTTATTAAAACCAAAATTCAAGAAAAGAATGATAGTATCTTGTTATATAATTAAAAGGTAAAAAGTACCGAACTCCAAGGAAAAAATTAAAATGGGTAGGTTCCTTATCAAATGGTTAAATCAAAAGCAATGAGTTATTAAATGTAACAAACATTAGATGTTTTAGATAAATTACGTGCTTTTGGTGGTCCTTTTGATTCGGTTGACAGTTTTGACTTTTCCACCTTTTTAGCTCACCGGGGCCCGAAGGGCACCATGTGAGCTTATGCCATCACTTGGCGTCCGTCGTCGTCCGTCGTCTGTCGTCGTCGTCGTCCGTCGTCTGTCGTCGTCGTCGTCTGTCGTCGTCGTCGTCGTCTGTTGTCGTCTGTCGTCGTCTGTCGTCGTAAACTATTTCAAAAATCTTCTCCTCTAAAAACTACTGGGCCAAATACCTTCAAACTTTAACTAAATGTTCCTTAGGGTATCTAGTTTATAAATTGTATCCAAAGTTTTGATCCATCGACAAACATGGCCGCCATGGCTAAAATAGAACATAGGGGTCAAATGCATTTTTTTGCTTATATCTCAAAAACTAAAGCTTTTAGAGCAACTCATTGTTGGGTTGCTGCCACTAAATTGGTAGTTTTTAGGAAATTTTGCAGTTTTTTGTTATTATCTTGAATATTATTATAGAAAGATATAAACTGTAAACAGCAATATTGTTCAGCAAAGTAAGATCTACAAAAAGGTTTTAAATTGTCAATTGACCCCTTAAGGAGTTATTGCCATTTAAAGACAATTTTACACAATTTGTTCATCAAGTTTGCTAACATTTAAAAATCTACTCCTCTGAAACTACTGGGCCAAATACCTTCAAACTTCATCTAAATCTTTCTTAGGATATGTAGTTTATAAATTGTATCCGAAGTTTTAATCCATCGACAAACATGGCCGCCATGGCTAAAAATAGAACATAGGGGTCAAATGCAGTTTTTGGCTTATATCTCCAAAGCTAAAGCTTTTAGAGCAAATCTGATATGGGTAAAATTTTTCAATTGGGCAAGATCTATCAGCCCTGAAATTTTCAGACAAATCGAACAACCCATTGTTGGGTTGCTGTCACTAAATTGGTAGTTTTGAGGAAATTTGCAGTTTTTTGTTATTATCTTGAATATTATTATAGATAGATATAAACTGTAAACAGCAATAATGTTCAGCAAAGTAAGATCTACAGAAAAGTTGAATGACCAAATTTGTCAATTGACCCCTTAAGGAGTTATTGCCCTTTAAAGACAATTTTACAAAATTTGTTCATCAAGTTTGCTAACATTTAAAAATCTTCTTCTCTGAAATGCAGGTGAGTAATTCAGGCTCTTGAGAGCCTCTTGTATACCACACTTCCGATCAAACTTATCAAACAAAAGTTTTCCTTTTTAAGTAAATCGTCGTTTGATAAATCTGATTACAATTTTATTTGCTGTAACTCAAATAAAGCCTTTTTTCTCAAATGAGAAAGGTAAAAATGATAGATATACTAACTGGAGGTGTGATTAGATGATTAAAGCCATACATTTATTCCATTTAATTGATAAATTCAACAACACTTACCACTATCTTGATGATACTTTTTCGTTAAATAATCAATAATTAATTAAATATACTGCTGAAATTTACCCAAAGGAACTTACCTTAAAACAATCAAATATTAAAAGCAATAAGTGTCCCTTCCTAGATTTAGACATTTCAGTTTTACACCAGATACTCGACACAAATATTTACGACAAAAGGGATGATTTTTCTTTCCCTGTTGTTAATTTTCCTTTTTTGGACAGTGATATTCCTTTGGCACCGTCTTATGGTGTTTATATATCTAAACTCGTTCGCTATGCCCGTATCTGTGGTGACGTTTTGGATTTCAATGAGCGTAATTTATTTATTACTGGTAAATTATTAAGTCAGGGATTTCGTTACCACAAATTACTTAAACCTTTACTAAATTCCTCCATAGATACAAATATTTGGTTTGCAAGTTTGGCTGTATCTGTTTCATGTTTTTCTCTGACTGTTAATGACGTCTTTACACTAAATCCATTGGATGTTGGATATGTACTGATTGATATATTAGTCTTAGATACATGATTTCATTTATTTGTTGTAATTGGCTTTGAAGTAGCTGTCAGTAAATGCGAGTACACTCATATCTGTACTTTGTGTCTTTTGTTGTTAGGGTTTATAAATACCATGCCACATTCGGTCTGTGTTTTTGTTAGATGTTTTTCTGCTTTGTATCGATCTGATGAGTTAAGCCATTTTCAACTGATATCTTTATAGTTTGTTCTTATGTTGTGCTATAACACCACTGTCCCAGATTAGCGGGAGGGTTGAGCGTTCAAAACATGTTTAAAAATGCCACATTCTTTATGTGCCTGTCCCAATTCAGGAGCCTGTAGTTCAGTGGTTGTCGTCGGTTCATGTCTGTCATATTTGTTTCTCGTAAATTGTTTTGTTATAAATTAGGCAGGTAGTTTTCTCAATTGAATTGTTTCGTATTTTTCAGGTCGGGGCCTTTTATAGCTGTAGGCCTTACGGTTGCCTATAATTGCTTACATCCACTTCATTTGAACTTTGGTGGATTATTGTCTCATTTGCAATCATTCCACATCTCTTTATATTTATATTACAGAAAACAGCCCAAGGCGTCCAATGGGTCTTCAACGCACCGAGAAAAACCTGCACCCGGATCGGTTTTCAGTTGGCCCCTAAACAATAATGTACACTAGTTTAGCGAAATTGACACCACATTTAACTCGAACACATATAAATGAACCAACTTTAAAAAAACAATAATCCGAACCCCAAATAAAATCATGTGTTGGTTACTTAGTATATTATTATGAAAACGTTTTTATTGTTTAAAATTCTTGTAACACAGACTATATGACAGAATCGTGTTATTGGTGTATTTTAGTATGAAATGCGAGTTCCTTTTGATTTGCATAACTACACATGATTGTATGTTTATAAACTTACAACTTTTCCTATAACCTGTGATTATTATTCCGGAAAACAGAATCGGTTAAGCACCATTATGGCTCTTGGATGGGAATGGCAGACTTCAAGACAGAAGGAGACTGGAGATGGGTTCATGACTCTTCTAAGGTTCGTTATTCCCAGTGGTATCCAGGACAACCAGACAATTACGGAGGAGAAGACTGTGGCCATTTTTGGTCCGCCGTTAAGTATAAATGGAATGATGCACCATGCCACCTAGATAGAATGGGGTACATCTGTGAGTGTTCACATGTAAGTTTATTATCATACAACGCAGTTCCCATTTTCATATCTATATTGTTTATTGCTTTTCTTATGGCCAGAAATGTTTGGTCCATTGATATTGCAATTGAGCCTAATTCATATTCTAATCATCGTTATCAACGTCATTTTTTATATAAAATATCCTTCATTTAAATTATTACATTTTAGACAATAAATGGCTGAAATATTTAAACCAAATCTCCCATTACTCTTCCAACATGTTCCCCTTGAGTTTGGGTTGAGTAATGGTAAAGAAATAATAATGCTGTCATTTTGTTCATGTCGTTAATAACAAGGAAATTACTTTTTATAATTGTCGTAACCAGAAGCCTATCCTATTTATCTTAATTGTGACATCATTGAATGCGAGTTATCATTAACTTTTTACTTGGGATGAGTGAGAGGTGCTTCTAGTGAAGCAGTTTAACAATCAAGAGCATATGAGCTCACCCACGGATGCCGGCAGGGTTCGTGATACCCAGTCTTATGTTTTCTGTGTAGTGTTGCCCTTTCGTCGTTTTTTTTTTTTTTATGGCCATGGTTTTTTTTCTGCTTTTCTTCAAATTGTGGTATTGATTTACCTTTGGTTTAGTCTGCCTCTTTTTGTGCTGTCACTTTTCATGGTACTGATAATATAGAATGTAATTTAATGCAGTCAATGTTTATGGTGTTAACAACAATTGATGCAGTCACTTTTCATGGTGCTTATATCATTTTTTTCCTGGCACTTTTCATGGTGTTTGATAACATTTTGCTGCAAATTTTCAAGGTCTTCATTCATAATGTTAGGAAATTTAGTATGTCAATTTTTAGGATGTTTTACATAGACTGTTATTTAATGCAGTAATTTTTCGTGGCGTTTACAAGAAGGAGTGTAATATTATAAAGTTATTTTTCATAATTCTCACACACTTTGTCAACTGCTTAATGTTTTGTTTGATAATTATCAATATAAACTGAATTGATTTTTAATAATTTCGAAAACGATCATTTATATATTTATATTGCTATCAGATTACTCGTTGGATATTCGGAAGTAATCTAAACACGTGATCTTCAAGTCAAGTATTTAAAAGAAATACTATTTACGATGCAACTGCACTGACTTGAGAATATAAATAAATAAAGACATAATTTTTGTTCTTCTTTTTCTACAGGGATCGAACTGCCGTCCGATCAATGGATGAGAGAAACAAGAAGCCAGTGGAAGATAGATTATAATATTAAGTTTCATTAAAAAAATCCAAACAAAAGGAATTTTTCATTTAATCTCATTAGCATACACAGTGTATAAACCATCATATAATGTAAAACTTTTTAACCACTAAAGTGCTATTTTTTACAAATCAGCATGATGACAAAACAAAATGAAAATACCCGTAAAATAAGTACCCATAATGTTTAGGTTAGGTTGTTGGCTACAAAAATATTATGATGCCGGTACTGAAAGTCTTACTATGACATATAGTTTAATGAAATAATAAAAAGCGTCTTCACACAGCGAAATCTTTATCTAGACTACATAAGATCATACTTTCGTCCCTAAGTATATACGTCGAATATACTGTTACGTAATTATCGCGCTAAACGACGTTAAAACGTTTACAAATTATTAGAAAAATATAAAAAAGAAGATGTGGTATGATTGCCAATGAGACAACTCTCCACAAGAGACCAAATGACACAGAAATTAACAACTATAGGTCACCGTACGGCCTTTAACAATGAGCAAAGCCCATACCGCACAGTCAACTATAAAAGGTCCCGAAATGACAATGTAAAACAATTCAAACGAGAAAACTAACGGCCTAATTTATGTACAAAAATTGAACGAAAAACAAATATATAACACATAAACAAACGACAACCACTGAATTACAGGCTCCTGACTTGGGACAGGCACATGCATACAGAATGTGGCGGGGTTAAAGTATATAAAAGAAAGTGATTTACAACACCAAACTTCCACCGGTCAATATTTATATAAACAACGCCACAGTTAAAACAAATGGAAAGAAATAACCATTGCTACTCAAGCCGACATTTGACGGATGCATGATTATTTTTTAATTAACTGTCGCAGATACGTTTACAATTTGTGGAAACACAAACAAAAATTATTGTGAAAGTTTGTTAATATCTAACTATTATTAAAATCAAATTTGGCGAGTACTACACAGAAGACTTTGTTTCCCCTTATCTAGCAATAAACTTTAGCTAGATATTTCCAGTAAACCCTTGTGAAAATGATATATTCATGTTTTTTATGTGTTTATAATTATTCTGGTTACTAAACATTTTATCTTAGATTCCTAATTTTTCTGAATCGTGTCATTGTTAGGATCAGACCTTAAATGGTATGAGTGTTATACGTAGTTTCGACACAAGGCGCGTCAATTATGCACAATGAAAGCTTGGGACGTGATCACACTACTATTCCTAGAACAGATGGATGACATTCATAAGTTCGGAATTTAAGTTAAAGTATAAAACAAAGGTCGAATTTCAGCTGTACCGTTTTTACGTCAGGTATACGCAGGAGTTTAGCTTACATATAAGCCGGGCTTGCCACAATGAATTTTACACAAGTTCTCTTCTTTGTTTAGTGTCTTTGGATTGGAACAGAGACCTCATAAGTCCAGTTCAATATGCCAAACGTTTCCTTGGCAAAACAATATATTCTGGATACTTACATTCGTGATACGCCCTCTTTTTGACACTTAAACATGTATTGAATATAATTCCACATCTCTATTGTAAACAGCTGAACAAATTTTTATACAATAAGACAACTGTCTTTTGTTGGACTGAATTAGTTACTTTTGTTATTTTTGTTGTTGGGTTGCTATATCTTGTTCTTGTATTTATATTGATGGGAGATTCTGTTTGTCTGTCCGTTCATTCGTCTTCCTTCTGTTCCACTTTTGTATCCGTAACTGCTCCTGAACCGCTTGTCATAATTGTATCAAACTTACAAGGAATCTTACTCCATGATGTACGTTTGTATCTCCTATTTTGTGTTTTGAGGCGAATTATTTTTGTCTTACCAAAACTTAGCCATTGCTTTATTTAAGGTTACCATTTATTTTTTCAAATCCCTTAAAACAATTAATTCATACTTTCTGACAATCCTAACTATATATAAATCCATTATGCACTTCCAATTATGCGTTTTGGTCCGTTTTGTGAAGGTTTCCTTAAGCAAATTATGGACCTTTAAGTGGCGGGGTATAATTTTATGATTTAGCTCGCAATACTTTTAGCTTTTTTCCTTGATTTGGTTTTGTTCATGACAAGACCAATAAATAAATGCAAAATCAGACTGTTATCTAAAAGTGTTACATGTATATGGACATGATGGATGTTCGCAAAGTTTTATCACATCTACCCCAATATTTATATGAGCTCATACTTTGTGCAGTTGAATCCATAAAAATAGTTTTCCTGTGTTTAGAGCGTATGTTTATATAGCTGATGTGACTGAGTGGCTAAAAAGTGAGCATAATTTCTAAATCTTAAAGGTGTTGGTTCGAATGTTCTGTATATTGGACCAAAAACCCGATAAAGCTTGTCCTGTAATTGTTTCACTGCTATGACCATGATGGTTAAAATCAAAGGGTTTTCTCTTCCTTCTAGCATTTGAATATTAAAGCATCTTCACTATATATTTAAACTTTTTCGACAATTGTTTATATATATTCATAAAATTTAAATTTCATCTAGCAACGCTAGCCTTTTTTGTTACACTTACACATGTTACATACAGAATGAATTCTCATATCTAACATGCTAAAATGAATGAAATTTTACACATGTAGGTTTTCTGCAAACAAATTTTGGTTTAGAAATTCACTAGGGGAAATTGCCCATACCTCTTTATTAGACCAATTTAGACCCAAAAAATGTGTCGGTTCGATGTGGCCCCAATATGACCCCCTATTTCCCTCTGAAATTTAAAATCATTATGTAATGACTATAAGTGCACTATCCTCGTGCCTGATGTTTAAAGATTTAGGGTGTTGAACATCTTTTTTTACTGATGTTTAACAAACAAAATGATAGCACATGACATAATGCCTATTAAAAAGAATTTTTCGCTTTGTTCGTTATCTAAGGATTAGAATAACAGATATATATATTTATTTATTACACAAAAGTATCACAATCAATCATAGTTATACTATTTACTCAATAGAAATATGCCTATTTCAGAAAAATTTACTCATGTTACTGTACGGAGTGGTACATTGTACATACGTTTGAATTGATTATTATTATATATATGACGATATATAACTAGTGTCAATTTCCTTTTTACCAGATTAAAAGAAAACAGTAAAAAAACAATAATTTGAAGGTTATTATGTCAACATAAACCTATAACAGTTTTATCATACGCACTTTCTGTTAAGTGTGACTATAATTGTTTTTTTTTTAAATTTATATACAATGTATATAGCCAGACTTAAAATATTAAAATGCAGTTGAACTCATTAATACTTAAAATAATTTGAAAGTTTAAGAATAATCCACATTTTGCGTTAGAATATGCACCATTTGGAGGTCCTACAATGTAGTATAACTCGTGAGGTTGTAAAAATAGCATAATCGGTGACCGCAAGACAACGCGGCAACGCGAGATGAAGGAACTAGTGAATTTACGATATCAAAGCAGTTTCAGTTTTCAACCAATGATGTATGACGTTCTAAGATGGTATGTGTATATGTCTTTTTGAGATACTTTAAAACGGTGTCGACGAAAATTTATCAATAACAAGTTAAAGATTAAAATGAAAAGCTTAATTTATCCTGGCCTTAGCAATTACTAGCATCTTCCTCGGATAAAAGGACATTTCATGTCGAGAAAAAAGAGAGGCGAAATATACCATAGAGATATTAAAACTCATGTCGAAAACAAACTGATAATGCCATGGCAAAAAAAAACGAAAAACGACGAAAAGACAAACAACAGTACGCAAAACACAACA